TCGTATCCTCTAATTAGTGGAGTAACCTTCTCATATACGCATTACAATATACAACATTAGCCAAAAACGAATGTAACATGCCCACGGCAGCATTTTGGCCACGTTTAGGCTGCAGCGTTTCCCAGCATTAGACACCTGATGGTAACGCACATGATTGGATGAATGCTTTTACTCTTGGCCTTTTTGCTCCTCGGTTTTAAACGGACCAACATGGAAGCTCGTTTAGAAACCATTTCTCCAATATCACGAGAATAGTTCATCAAAATGTGTTTCTGAAGACATTACAGGTGAGAAATAAGTCATGCATTTACTAAAACTGTCTTTATTCAACATTGACAGCAGGTAGAGTTTCTAGAGGCGGCCCCTGATTTGCATAAAGTAGCCTAGACCTCAACTTTATGTAAATGGGGAGCTCAAGCTGCACCGTTACCACAATGCATTGCACGTCGGCTCACATAGACAACACCAATTAGTTTAAAGAGACGAAAAACGGATCATGTGGACACGCATGAACATTAACCCCTGAATTAACCCCTTTCCCACAACAACAACGACTTAAATGTTGACCTAATAACACTACAGGGCTGTTAGATTGTATGACGATGTGCAGGGATAATGTTTTTTTATGGTCGGCACATGTAATGAGATCAGGAAAATCCTTGTACAAGTGAGGACAGCATGTTGGTTACACTACTTTAAGAAGCTGAATTAGGATTACAGCTCGTGTTTACGTCAAGAGTTAAGACTGAAGGTGGAAGATTTACACGATGAACAGAGTCAATGGCTGCCGAAGCTTCCCCATGTACACTGAGAGGAAACTGTCTGCGTGCACACAGCGGTGTGAGACGCCTGATCTGTGTGCTGTGGCTATAAATAGACTATTTGGAGTTGTGAAGGCTTTAGAGCCATCAGCTAATGGGGCCTTAAAAACGACCACTTTGTGACGTGAACTGTATCTACTTAACTGTACTGTGTGTGTCTTCAAAGTCACACAACAGCACAATTAAACTAATGGATCAAAGCAACAACTTCCATGTTATGTGAGGTAAAATAACGCATTTGAAAAGGGAATAATAAACTGTTCACTATAAATAATCTAGATATAGCATACACATAAACTGAGATGGATTTCTTTAGGTTGGTCTTTTTAACGGTGGCTAAAACACATCTTGCTCCGTCCACGTCTGACAAGATCCCAACATTCGCTTTAAACGGGCTATCCAACAATTTAAGGGTCTTGACTGCAGTTTTTTTTGCATGTTAATGGTTTGAAAAGGTTAAAGTTCCCTCCAGACACAACGCCTCCATTGGACTCCTTTGTAAACTTCAGGAACATAGTGACATCATTATGTAACACTCTCTATTGGCTTGCGCTCCAACACATTGTACGTGATAGGCTAAGGGGTGGGACTTCTCTAAACAGCTGACCAATCACAACAGAGCCTTCCAGCTAACCAATCAGAGCAGACTGGGCTCTGGTTTCAGACAGAGGGTGAAAAGAGGTGCTGCAGTACGGCCAGGATGAGAAAAATAAAGAGCTTAGAGTCACAAAATACAAATATGAACCAAATATGTCCTCTTCAGCATTGAATCCCATCCAAAGCGGAATATATGATGCAATCCGCACAGAACAAAGGAAAGCAACTGAGGACAAATGCTATATTTAAACAAAATGTGGAAGGCAAGACATTAGGAACAAGGATGTGAACTCCGCAGAAAGAGGAAACAGAACTTCATTAGAGTAGCGATGCATTCAGTCAGAAATATACAATAGTTTAAATATCTTTCCCAAATGATACTTAAAACATGCAGTATAAGTTCAAAGACTTCATCTACATACAGGTAAAGTCCATCACCTCACAAACACCTTAAAAACGACCCTATAATAGACACCGCTGTTGTTTCTTACGCTACATTTCCTTTCACCATGTCTTCCCTTTTCTTCCGTCTTTTTGCTCTTCCTCTCATCTGGTCTTTACTTCAGTATAGCCCTGAGATCTCCATGGAAACAAGGTTTGGTTCAGTCATCAGGGATGTAGAGAGAAGTGAAGAGAAAGAGGCAGAAATTGGATGATCGAGAACAAACCTTGATGAGAGCATTAAGTGGCTTTTATTCTAAGGTTTGGACATTAAAAGCAAACCTAACCAGCGGCTGGACGTCACTCATCCTGGAGTTATTTATGGAGAAAACATATACTGGTAAACAGTTTAATTTTTTTTTTGAAGAGCATATATAAGTGGTTCTCAATTAAGTTGGCTTTATTGGCTACCAATTTGCCCATAACTGAAAAAAGGAATACAATTCAACTGTATCCATTTAACCTTCATCTAGTTTAAACATGCAAACAAATCAGCTATAATATTATGTGTTAAGATACATATACGAATATAATATTCTTTAGATGTTCGTGCTACTGGTGGCTTTTTTTCTTGTTGCTGCAACATATAAAATCCCTGATGAAGAAGAAGGAGTAGAAGAAGAGGGAGAAGTTTGAAGAGAGGAAAAGGAGAAGAAGAAGAAGAAATTGTGATGTGAGAGAAGTCCTTGACTTGATATAAACCCTGTAAGTCACATGTGCGCACGCATCAAGGACCAAACTGTTCACTCGACCAAGAGGCATTTTGAGGAAGAACATGACCTCAGAAAGAAATTACACAAGAGTTAGGTAGTGAAATAAATCTATCTATCTAAGGAAACTTATAGTACATTTAAGGAAGTTCATCAACCATTTCATATTGACTTCAATAACGCTATAGGGACTGGGGAAGTTTTAAAAAATATAATCAAAGCATCACAGGCCAATATATTCTCGATTTGGTTGAGCTCCAAAAACATTAGGATTTACATTTCCCAAAATGCATTCATCTTTTCGTCAAAACCTTCCTATTTTCTCAGTCTTGAAAAAGCTTGAGAGCCACAGAAGAAATTGTAAAACACTTTTCTAAGGCAAAGTCTTACTCCTTGCGATGATTAAACTGACCAGCATGTGTACAGTAGCAGCAGATAAAAGATACAAGTTTATCTTTTAACACGGCCTGGACATTCATTTGAGAAGCCCTGAGGAATAGCAGGGGTCAAAATGTGCTTTCCAAATTCACATCTGTAATTTGAAAGATGCTTCTGTTAATGAAGGCCACAATAAAGTGATTTAAAAATGTAACTTTAAGAGTCAAAGGCCCAGCTGTGATGGAGTGACACGCTGGGAGAGTTGAAATGTAAGCAGATGGTTAGCAGTGTGAAGTAAATTAGAAAAATAATACTGTTTTGTAGATTAGAGAATACATTAAAAGGATGTCTGATTAAGAAATAAATAATCAGATGCAAACATTATGTACCTAGGCAACAACAAGGTAATGCAGGCATTTTGAAAACCTGACTGGAAAATGGTTTCTCTCATAAGGACGAAAAACTACCATTAAGCTTTAACTCCTGCATAAGTACACTTTAAAGGGCCCATGTCTTGCTTTTCCGGTTATTACCCGTCCCCTTGTGTGTTATGAAGGTTTTTCTGCATGTAAGCGGTCTGCAGAGTCACAAACCCTCAAAGTACACCCTGTAGAGAGTAAAACTCTAACTCAGAAAATACCAGTCTATGCTGCCCCAGAACGCCTCGTTGGAGATTTCTCTTTTTCCATTGTTTACTTCCTGGGTTCTGTGACGTGTGAACACCCAAATCAACAACAAATGACCGGATTGGACCAAATGGACCAATCCGCTGAGCACCTCACACACCAGGATCCTTTGGCTAACTAACAGGGAGTCCCCATTGACTTGCATAGAGCTCCCTGAACGCTGGTAATAGACGAGTTGGGATGGCGGAGAAATGCTCTCCGCAGACCCATTCTCACAGCGTTATAAACCTTTTTCTAATACTCAATATCAAGCCACACTTATTGTTTTTACTTCAGCTGTGAGTGTTTGTGTGTGCTCAGGATGAGTTTCGCTTGTTCTCTCTGTATCGCCGACCCGGAAACCTGTCCGCTCCTCGCAACAGCTCGCAGCAGCGGCGAGCAGCAACGAGCCTCGCAACGAGCCCTCGCAACGAGCCTCGCAACGAGCCTCGCAACGAGCCTCGCAACGAGCCTCGCAACGAGCCTCGCAACGTCCCGACCAATCAGAGCACACTGGGCTCACAGGGAGGGGGGGGCAGGAGCTCCAACAAGCCGTTTAGGACAGAGAGTGAATACACATACTATACAGAGATGCTGTATGAGAAACCAATGTGAGTTTGGAAGAATTGCACAATATAAATCTATTCTAGTAGACCTCAACAATGGAAATATGATCAGTAGAAATGGCCATGACATGGGACCTTTAAGTCAATTATAGCTGCAGAGAGAAGTGAATAGAAGGTAATAATATGAATCACACTTGTGCTATATTCAGTTCGAACCAAAAACAAGCTGCTGCCACACATTCAGGAACCAGTCAGACACCCTGCAGAGGCTGATTACTTTGTTTATAACCTTGATTTAAAATCACATCACTCAAACTACAGTGCAGGGTTTCCCACGGTGATATTATAGTGGTGGTGCACCGCCTGACCCTATTAGAGTCTAAAAATATGATTTTTTTTGTGAATGTAGAACAGAGTCTAAGGGTTCAATTAGTCACTCTCAGTTGGGAGCGTGTGAAGAGAAAGTCACCGTACGAGCAGCACTGCAAGCAGGCAGAGGTCATATTGGTAATAATAAACCACTAGCTGTACAAGTAATAATAGTCCAGGCTTGAGTTGAAGTAAGATTAAAGTCAGATAGAGACCACGTAAGTTTTTTTTTTTAACGTTGTAGTCTGTCTTGATTGCACTAGAGTCTCTGATCGGATACAAAGAAGAGCCTAAAAAGAGCACATATTGACATCTCTAAATCTTTGCTTGCTCTTTATAATGCTGTGGCTGAAATACATTTAATAGTATTTGTTTAATAACCAAACACACTGTTGCTTCGTTCATGATGCAAAGTTGAAATTGCACAGTCATCATTCATCTGCTTTGACTCACCTTGCATGCAGAATTTGAGTTCTTTTGCGTCCGTGACGGTGCTGGCTGGCATCCGGTCGGGAACTTTCTTGCTCATGCGGTTGTAGTTCCTCCTCTTCTTCGACTCGCCCCACAGGTTGGAGCCGCCGTGCATGCTGGGAATGTTGAGCACAGCTATGCCCTCCAAGGAGGTGTTGCTGAGGTCCAAGATGATACCGTCGCACTGAGCGGAAAATTACGAGAAAATAGAGTAAGACAGAAAGATAAGGACAATGAAAAAACATATAAGACAGGAACAGCTAAAAAGTAACAGATAATACATAAAGTTATGCCCCCGTTTGTGCACTGAAGCTGTAGGATCACAAATGCGAGGTTATATATTACATTAGATTCAGTTTGCAGACGCTTTTGTCCAAAACCACTTACAATACATGTATTCAAACCAAGTGGAAGCAAGAGTGAGATATTATCCAGATTTGTGAGTGTATCCCTTTGAAACAAATAAGTGTTTTGAGATGTTCTTAAAGAAACAAGAGACACTGTACGTAAATGCTAGCAATGGTTATTGAGTTGTACACTATAACAAGTTGGGTTGTAGCCCGTAGCTCAGAACAAAGGACCAAGATTTGTGACAAAAAGATCATCTAAATGTCTAGAGGCAAAGGAGCCCAATGCTCTGGCAGGGATGTAGTGGTTGACCATAGCTTTGGGGGAAAAGCAGGTCCCTGAACTGAATGCAAACAGCAACACAGCCAGTGTATTTCAGGGAGAATTTGAGTATTGTGAAAACATTTGGAAAGGTTGAATACAAGGCAAGCAGCAGCATTTTGTATCAGCTGCAGAGGTCTAGTGGCAGACACCTGGATCAGCACCTGTTTCTCCTATTGCTGCAATGTTTGTAGACAACATCATTTTGATTGACAGGGTCAAGGCCACCGTGGTGTTGTTAATGGTGATGGACTGAGGTGAAGGAACCCTTTCTCCTGAAGGGACACAAGCTCATTCTTGTCAGGGTTGAGTTTGAGGTGGTGCCTTGGCATCAATCCAAGATATCAGCCAGGCAAGCAGAAACATGTGCTTTCACCTGAATGTTGATGGGGGAAATACATGAATAGCTGGGTGTCATCAGAATAGCATTCAAGCCATGCCAGTATATCAAGAAACACGAAGGGATATCAAGTATTCCTGTGCAGATATGGAAGGGTAGAGGGCCCAGGATGGAGCCTTGTGGAACTCCTGTTATTAGAAATAAAACGGTTTCCATGAGCAAGTTGTCAGTGCAGAGCCTGATACGCTCAATCTTTTCAAGGTTGAGAAGAGGAACTGGTTGTTCACTGTGCAGCCTACAAGTCTAGTGTATACGTTTTAAAAAGAGAATAAATAGTTGGCTCTGGCAGAACGAAGAGCTTCGGAGTTAAAGAGTTAAAAATGATTCTTCTCAGTTGAGTTTTTACGCAAAAAGTTGGTTAAAACTATATTTTAGGGTCTTGGAAATACTAATAAAAGAGATACAGGTCTGTCATTTATGAAAGGACTAAGAACATATCCTGAGAATTGAGATATGCTGCTTACAAAGTGCAGGAGGTGAGAAGTAACAGAGAAGAGGGAATAGGGTCAAAAGGGTAACTTGTAGGAGTTGCAAGGTCAAGGACCCCCACAGCTGGAGTGGGGGGAGATAGATAGGAAGGTAAAGGAAGGTAGAGGGAGTAAAGCTAAAGAGGTTGAAAGAAGGGTGGATGGTAAGTGAGTGTGATCGATGAGGGTGAACAGCAGCAAAATTCTCCAGGAGGAAAGATGGATGGTGATGAGTATAGTATTTTCCGGGATTTCAAACAGAAGTCTGGAACATGAAATGTAATAACTTGTGATACAAGGATATGGTAATAGCCAGTTTCATATGATCCACCATGTGTTGCTTCCATCTGTATAGAAATCATATTATTGGGGAAGTTATTTTGGTAAAGTCATTCCTTCTGTTCCTTTCAATGCATTTCACTGTCAAATGCCATGAGCTTTGATGCGTATTCTTACATTTCTCTAGTTTCCAAACCTTACAGTCACAAGAGTAACTATGAATATATAAAACACGGGCTGACATTGTTTAATTAAAACTTTTGGTAAACCACATTGTTAAATGGGTCTGACAATTCTACTTTTAAGGTAAAGAGTGCAGGATTCACATGTTCTGTTGACGTAAGATGACACAGCAGCACCAGTTACACCCTGGGTTATTATCTAATGATTTAACTGGGATTTGTTCACAGGCTCTTCTAGCGTCTACTGATCAACTTAGCTGTACTGTATGTAATCACATTACCCGTTTTGTCTCACTGCCGTCACTGAAATCAATGCTGCTTTACAGCTTAGCCCTTCCACTTCTCTTCTGCCAGAAGTGTCAAGCACCCAGCTTTAGCTCTCTGGGGGTCTCTGATTGGCTGCTTTGTGTATAGCTCAACAAATCTAATCTACAGGGTCAAACAAAGATCAAGCAGCTTATTTTGTTCACCTCTGTTGGCTTTGACCTGTGATTCAATATAAGAAACTTAGTTATTAGTATAGACATTTACTGACCAGTTAAATGCAAACATATTTTCTGCCACCAGGAAACCACAGAGCATGTACATGATTTTCCCTGAGTGACATAGCTACATTTAACATCTAAGGTAATGGACGCCATAGAGATTAGGGTTGCAGTGTAATATTTGCTGTATCATAGAGTTAGATAGATACCCATGCTTGTACTCCCTTTTCACACCAGCAAGTTTTATTTTTTCCCTGACGCATTACTTGGACAGAGGCCAGATGTGCGGTTGTCTGAAGCCGAAAGCAACAACAAGGGCATTCAGAGCGCACAGACCTCCATCGAGGCCTTTCCAGGCAAGAAAAAACTGTTTGTATTCAGATCTGCTCCTAATCTGTCTCAGGCTATACCCTTCTACCAAGTTAAATGAAAATCTGACAGGTGGTTTTTCTGTAATCCTTCTGAGAGACAAACCGAGCAACACACCAAACCACAAACACAACATCCTTGGTGGAGGTAATACATATAAATTGGCCGAATGTCAAATCATACTTTATGATATGTACACTCTTGGCCTAACTCTGAATTATATTGTGCTTCATAGCCTCGTCTAGACTCATCAGATAAGTCAAACGGAGAATTGCAGCAACACATTGCTGTGACTCAGCATGCATGGTTGATTCTAGCTGTGTCAAAGCAGCATAATGCGTGTGTGTGTGTGTGTGTGTGTGTGTGTGTGTGTGTGTGTGTGTGTGTGTGTGTGTGTGTGTGTGTGTGTGTGTGTGTGTGTGTGTGTGTGTGTGTGTGTGTGTGTGTGTGTGTGTGTGTGTGTGTGTGTAAAACTACATAACACATAGCAGCCTGATATTGAACAGCTCTATAAAGTGTTTGGAGAAGTGTTCACACTGCAGTTGTCCGTACCTATCCTTAACAAGTGATTCAATATTCCGACCAATTTATTTTAACAGCCCTCATAATAATTTAGATTCACAAGAAAATGTCCCCTAGTTTTGGCTGTAAAATAATGAATTAAATTGCATGAAATAAAATATGACTAGTAGCTGGAAATGTTATATCTATGTAGCTAAGTAGCATGCTAACATGCATGTTAGAAGGGCAAACTTAAGGGCATGTAAAGATCAACGGTCTCCTAGGACTTATCTCACAAACAGTAGCTTCACTTCACTGTTAAATGTGTTAAGTCCTGTCCTCCCTCGTTGAGGTCATAGTAATACAAGCCCAACAATTAATGCAGCTGCTTCACAGTAAAAGCTGTGAAGACAACGCCTTCACTTTAACCCTCCCTACTGTCTCCTGGCATTTATTTTCTACACCCGGTGGTTTAGCACCTCTCACTAGGTGCCCTCCAAAAAGTTTCCTGCCTGTGCACGTCACATGACCCCCCTTATGATCTGCTACCTGCCTACACAGTTGTCCCTCAGTTTCTTATTAGAGATGACGACCTTACATGGAAACAATAACTCTCTGAGCGGTAAACATGTCATCATCGTCAGTGTATTCTCAGGAAAGAGCTGTTTCACAACCAGCAGTATAGAGCATTTCAGAAAGTATGTATAGAAGCCTTTAAAGAGAAACCATAACTGATGGGTTCCAGGATAATGTGTTAGTCACAACATACAAGGTTTTCTGAGTCAGATAAAATACAATCCAAGTGTTTTTTTAGAAAATTGCCCACAGTCAAGAGGACTAGGCTTATAAATCCTTGAGATTCAATCAGGCTGACAAATTCTGCGCCAAACGGGAGCATGGTTGATATATCACACATTTGCCTGTGTACTTGCGTGAAAAATAAAATGACTTGATTATTTGTTCTCTGCTGAGTCTGAGTATTAGATACATATGCCATGGTAACTTTGGAGGAAGTAACATAAATCAATTTCTTAAGTTTAAAACGGGATTATCTCACATAATGCAATGAGAAATACTATGTTTTGTTGTTTTTATGTCAATTGCATACCACTAGAGCACCATTTATATGTGTATTAATCTACCATTGAAAAGTCATTTCAAAAACATTTCTGTTTGTGTTTTCCGACAATAAGATAAATAAAGAGTAATGCAAAGTTTAATGTTTAAGAAATAAAGGAAATTCATTAACTTGAGCTAATGAAATCCTAAATATTTCAACAAAAAATGAAAAACAATTAATTTGTTTTGCTTTTTTAAACATATGGAGACAGGTTGTTCGCTATTTTCCCAATGCTTTTTGAAACGGTGAGTTTATCGAGTGTTTTCTCGGAGTCTTGCTGTGCTTCAAGCGACCATGGTGACAGATTATACTGCGCTGTGTGACAGAATGAGGCAATCAGTAACTTTATGGAGCATTAATCTGATGGTGTACTATAAATAGCCCACCTTATTAATATGAGAAAACTACTTTGTTGTGAATATCTGCAACACATTAAAGAACAACAGCATCTAAGAGTCTGTCAGTAAAACGGTGGAAAAAACAACAATCTTGACATGTAGTGTACACAACATGTTCCATATTTAACTTTTTCATCATATATATTCTCAGGTATTTAAATATATTTTCCATCTTTTTGGAAGACTCAGTCTGTAGGCTTGGCTTGACAAACGGTTCCTGAACAGCCCAAGTACGAAATGTGAACTGTGTGAATATAATAGCTCCCACTGCTCCAAGTAGTAGATGGTTTTAAATACAGAGAGTACATTTGATAGTGGGCCAGTGCTTTGTGACAATTACAAGATTTTCAGACTTCAACTCACCTCCACTTCTATGCATTCGTTGAGTTTCTTGCAGGTGGCCGATATGGTCTCAGTGGTGCCGAACTCAAAGTACCAGAGCTTGTTCTTCATTCTGAGGAGAAACAGAGGACAGACATGTTTTTAGACAAACATATAAAAAAAGATTGGCTTTCACACGAGCACAGTGTTTCAAGCCTACAGCGTGACTTGCTTTCGGGTGCACTGGACACATATTGAAGCTGTCCGATTGCCTTAAGTCACGTCACATTTTGGATTTGACAGCCCTTGCAGCCATGTGACCACGAAGGTCAAAGCTCCATCGATGCATCCTCAAGCATTAAAGTGTAGATACTGGCCACTGGAAACACAGCATCTGTCCTTCTGTTGTCCACGCTTTCATTGAAACAGTCCACACAGTCGCCTCAGTAAACATATGTTGAGAGTTGAAATATCCACATTGCCTCTGGAGGGGACACAGGGTGAAACATTGCTGGTGGAGACTGTATGATAAGGGGAAATATTTGTGTGATTCACAGCACTCGAAAGCATGCCACAGGACTGACTCAACAGCGGTTAATTTGTGCCCTGCAGAGGGTTTGTCAGAGGTGACCCGATGGATGCCGCGCTGTTTACGTCCCGATGTCGTTTGGTGCAGTTTTGGCACAGGACGGTGGCTGAATAACAAAGTCAAGGTGAAATCTCTGCTGGACAGGGGAGTTCTCAACAGTGATAAATGATGGGAAAACAACTGGTGCAGCAACTGAAGACAAGTGGAGGTAAAGGGAATCATGTCACAAAATGAATAACTATTATAAGTGCAGGACCATAAATTGCTATTAGCTTATTTCCATCTGTGCAGGTACACAATGAACAGACACTAAAAACATAGCATTGTCTCTATCACACCAACAATTATAATAACAGATCAATGCAAATACCAGGAGATTGATCAGTAATACTTTACAATTACAATGCATTTACTCAGGTAGCCCACACTGTTGTATCTGTGCAAATAGCAATAATTTGGATGCATCAATAAAGAAAACACTTCCAACATCTTTCCACTATACCTCACACCAACTTAATTTACACAAGAGTCGGCCAGATTCGGACTGTTATGGCGCATTTCCATTGCAGCGCGTAGCTCGCTTTAAGCGTGCCGTGTCGTGCCGTCCCCTTTTTTGGTTGTGCTTCCACTAGGCCTCGTTCCGGCGCGGCACGGCGCGGGGCCACTTTTTCCCCTCTTTTCTGGCCCTAGAAAATTGTGGTTCTATCGGGGCCAACAAACAGGGCTGAGTCGGGCTGAGTATGCTAAACTAGAGAGAGGAGCGCTGGCAAGAGGGCTAGAACTACAACAAGATGGACATATTTGACCGTGATTTAATTGTAATACACGTTTCAAAATGATGCCGAAGTAACAACATACTGATACCGGTTAGTAAAAACCATGAATTAATGCTTTGTCAAGTCTGCAGACAGACGGCAGGCGAAAAACCTTTTAAAATTCGTGTTTTTCTAGATGGAGATTGGCTAAGCTAACGCAGTATATGCCCCGACCGTCCACACTCACAACAACGGCCTATACAGACATAAATAAAGCAGCGACTGTATTCACCATGACACAGGCAGTCTGTGGTGTGTACTTGTTTAACTTTTGTCGAGTTTCTGAACATATATAAGGAGCTGTGAGCTCTGAGTGCTCACAGCTAACGGCTGTGTTGTGTTTCTGGATTTCTCATTGAAGATGACGTCACGGCTCCGCCTACACTGCGTTACTATAGTAACTACCCCAGTTCCTAAACTGTAATGGAAGCGCAGCATGAAGTGAGTCGGCCCTGTTAAGGCCCAACGCGGCCAAGCCGTACCGAGCCGTACCGAGTGTGGCCGAGGCCGACCGTGTAGTGGAAATGCGCCATTAGAAGTGTCTTTGGCCCTAGTCAGAGACTTTCTATCAGTTCAAGCATGTTTATTTGGAAGGAGAGCCATTTGGTAAGAGAAAACACTCCGATTGGCTGTCGGGGGAGGGGCAAATGTCCTCCTTTTTATCTTGGGCCGTCAACTGCCTCCTGGTCATGACTTCAAAGCTTCCCCATTTGACCCTTTTTGATCTGTTGTTTTGAGAGATCACAATCTTTGAACAGACTGGGGTTATCGACTCTCCCCTGCTATCTTATACAATATGAGTGTTAGAAAGAGAAAGGAGTATCTAAAGCTTTAACCGTAAGTCTACAAAATGATTTGTAAAGGCTGTACTCACCCTTAAAACCCAGAGAAACCCTACAAACATCATAACTGATGTCTCTACAAAGACAAATACTTCATAGATCATTTGACAAGCTGCTGATACTGATAACACAGCTATTGCCACAACAGCTCAGTATCATGTGGGCAAACCATTAGTCGCTTTCACACCAAGTACTTTGCCGTACTTAGTTCCCAGCACTTGGTTCCCCCATGGAACTAAGTACAGATCGCGTTCACACCGGAATAAGTTCCCTGAGGGAAGATTACGCAAATGAAGCCGCTGACGTCACTTATTCTGCTTTGGGTTTACTGGCAGGCCGCAAACAACTTCACGGCGTATACTGCCACACGAAGTCCCCGGCCGGAAGTCCCCGGAGTTGGCACCTCCTCATCTCCACCGCTCCCATGTTTTTTTTTGTGTTGCCATAAGTTAGTCTCTCTCCGTTGGTGCGCTGGGCTAATGCTAATGCTAATAATGCTAATGCCAGCTAAAAAGATCTGGAACTAGAACTTTTTTTTGCTAACCTTTTCAGGAAAAGGTTCCAATTTCTGATTGGCTGGGCGAATTGCATACCACGCCCCGTAAAACTCGGAAGAGTTTTGTGAAGCCGCCATTGTATTTGCTGGCATTAGCATTATTAGCATTAGTCCAGCGCACCAACGGAGAGAGACTAACTTATGGCAACACAAAAAAAAACATGGGAGCGGTGGAGTGATGAGGAGGTGTCGGCGTGCTGGCGATTTACTTGGAAGGCCAACTCCGGGGAGTTCCGGCCGGGGACTTCGGGTGGCAGTATACGCCGTGAAGTTGTTTGCGGCCTGCCAGTAAACCCAAAGCAGAAGAAGAAGAAGTGACGCCAGCGGCTTCATTTGCGTAATCCTCCGTCAGGGACTTATTCCGGTGTGAACGTGATTTACTAGATAGTTCCGGAACTAAAGATTTCCGGGGAACTAAGTTCCGGGAACTATTCCCGGGAAAAGTACTTGGTGTGAAAGCGCCTTTTGCCACTTTGGCACTGAGAGCAATAAGAGGACACTTAAACACAATCAACCTAAAGAAATATTCACACCTTGCGAGAAATATTTATATTTTCACTCATGTACACTCAAATAATCAGGAGGTAAATCTCAACATGAACTCAAAGCGTACTACAGACTTCAAACAAAGCATTCAAATAATTAATGATGTTTATTGAAACCTAAATGTCTTAAGCCGCTGCACTCGCTCACATGTTTTTCTCCTCGCTAATTGTCTTTCTGTCCCTTGTTCTCTGTCTTTCACCTTAATGCCTCCCCAGAAACCTCTGCCGCTGTCAAATCAGGGGATTATGAGCATATTTGAGATCACAATTAGGAGCAGTTGCGATTCTCAATGAGGCGAGCTGCCTAAACTCATTAAGCTGCTTCCACTTGAGACGGTCTGTAAAAAATGCAATTAACTCATGTTTTTTTCCCCTCTCGTATGGACACAGAGTGCAACAGGGAGACAAACTACTTTTTATAAGCCTTTCCTCTTTTATTCCCATGTTTATGCACCACAAATGCATCATCTTTAAAAAATTGGGTATTTATCCAATTATGGCAGCATGTTTTATCCCATTTTTAGTCCGATTGTAACGCTGTTTCCCGAACAAAGCAAAGCACTTATTAATTATTTTCATCTTAAATGAATGTAGTTGCTATGAAAGATAATGTCTCTTTCTCCTGGTGGATATACAACTTTATCTAAGAGAGAAAGAGATTGGCTTTTATTCAGTGAAAGGTGAAACCATGAAAACACTGTTAAGCAAAGCTCGAGGATACAACACTCTATCTGTGTACTGTAGCAGCTATCTCTCCCCATTGTGCCCCTCCCTGCAGATAAGCATCTCCCTTAATCCCCAATATGAGCAGTGACCTTATGACCCCCCCTCCACCTCTTTCCTGCCCCTCCTCTCTCTCACACATTTTGCATTAGGTTAAAGAGGGTGATTTTTGACGTTGCTTTTTAATGGGACACATCCGCCCTCACCCAGTGGAGAAATAAACTTGGAGAGTTTAAAGTAGAAGTAATACTGAAAGTACTCTGGTACAAGTAAAAGTACTGCATTCAAAATCTTACTGTGTACAAGTACAAAACTATTGGCCTTAGAATACATTTAAAGGGAACCTGTTAGACATCTTTTGTGTTGATTATAAATGACAATTTTCGAATTAATTTAGGTCTATATATATTCTTTCGATTTATGAATATGTATTAAATTAAATATTCTGAGAATAGTTTGGATTTATTGTTATCAATCAGATGATCAGCTGTTATATAAGGAAGGGGTGGGTACAGTCTTTGACCTCATGTTACACTGATCATTTTGTTTATTTGTTTGTTTAATTTTATGGAAGAAGTAAATAAATCAGCCAAAGAAAGGCAAAGAAATCAGCCCCTGCAGAGTTTTATTTGGACGGTTTTAACGTGTGAGTCAAGAAGCGGAGCCCTGTTAATGTGGCACACTTTTAAATATACTACAATGTTTTTGGGGAGTTTTCCCTTTCTTGTAGTGTGAAGAAACCTCATAATGCATTCAGTATTTTAAATGACATTTCCTTGGGCAGTTTTGGATGGTTCAGGTGTTTGTGTTTTGTTCCCGAGCAACAACAGTGCATTTTCTAAATTTGCAGAAGCGCTCATACATGCCTCTCACTCTGTTTTTCTCCATAGCAACAAAAGTAGTCGTGTGATTCATTGTTAATATGGAGTATATGAAATATTGATTGATAGAACTCCATCTCTGCCGTTACTGTAGATGATGTGTAGTCACCTGAATTCCCAAAAGTCATGATTTATTTAACGGGTGATGTCTGGTAGGATGTGCCTACAACAGATATGCTGTT